AGGAGGGCCTGTCAGCGAGATGGGAAACGTTTCTGTCTCAACTATTGTCCTAGAGAGGAGCCTGGCGTGGCTGGTTCCAAACACGCAGAGGAGGGTTCCCCTAGGAAATGGTAACAGCAATTCTCACAGATGAAGTCCCTTAGGTCAGCTCAGACCCTGTGACCCCAGGGGACACAAGCTCCAGGAGACAGCTGGCCTCTGACAAAAGCTGGTGTCCCCAAGGCAGAGAGAAGAAAGGACCTGTATCATCCGGGTCATTGTATGATTCATCCTCCCAGCTGCCCAAACTTGAGGGAAGGAAGGACCCAAGAACGAAAATCATTGAGCAGGTTCTTATATGAAAAGTGTGTGAACACGTCATTTAACCGGTCGGTGGGCAAACCCCTCTCCATCGCTCCTTCCAGCTGCTAAGCCGACACCTCCACAGGAAGCAGCCAGCTCTGAGACAGGAGCCTCAGACATTGCAGTTGCCCTTGCCTGTCCCTCAAAGCCAAGCCAAGACAAGCACGTGGCTTCAGGGTGGCACCCAGTGTGTCAGAGTCCCCGTCACCACGTCGAAGGGAAGGAAAGGTCTTGCTTTAAGGCCAGTTGTAATTCTCCCAATGTCTTTATTGATTTATACAATTACTAGTAATGTGCATAATCTTTCCCCCAAATTGGCTCACTTCTTGTGTCCATGCATCTGCCCAAAGTTGGAAGCCGATTAGTCATCTTAGAATCTTGTTTTAACTGTAATACCCACCCACCCATCTCCACATCATCCAGTCAATCACTAATCCCAGTTGATTCCATCTCTGGATTAGCTCTTTTTTATTTTTATTTTTTTGAGACAGGTGTCACTCTGTGACCCAGGCTGGAGTGCAGTAGCATCACAGGTTTCTGCAACCTCAAACTCCTGAGATCAAGTGATCATGCAACACACTCCCTTGGGGGTTTGATTGTCTTTATTTCTCCCTTCCCATAACCAGTAAAAAAATACAATCAACACAAGTACACGGATTCAATTTGTAAAAATCATCGGAGTGCAGAGATGGCCAGAGCCCCATCCCGGGTTTAACTTACATATTTACAGAGTGTGTGGCGAGGGCGTGGCCGCGGGGCGTATCTAAAAGGCAGTATCACAAAATATACAAAGGTGGCCTTCCGTTACATTTCATGGAAGAACCCTGACTTACTTCCAAATGACAGCACTATCAGCACAAATCACCTGATCCTTTCCCATATAACTTAGGTAAAATGCTGTACAGGTGCGTGACTATAAATATAAAGCATAAATGGCTCTGTCTGGGAAAGGGCATCTACCTGGGGTGGGGGTGTCCAGGGAGGGCTCAGCCTGGTGTCCCAACCTGTTAAGAAGATGGGGAAGCTGGCAAGGGAGGCAGGAGGGGACGGGGTCACGGAGCGTGTTGGCACCGACTGCCCTGTCCTCTACAAGGTGAAGGTGCTGGCCCTGGCCGGGGGACTCGGGATGGCTGGGGTCAGTAGCAGTGGTGTCACTAGGACAGGGGCTCTAGAAGGCACAGAGCAGGCATCTGGGTTGAGTGGGAGCACACCCCTTTGACTCTCGGGCATGTGCGGCCCATTACACGGGAAGGTCCCTGGGCAGGTCACCCGGCCCTGGCTTCCTCCCCTGGGAAAAGTCTGGAGCTTTAAGGCACGGAAAGGGCAGAAAGCCAAAGCTCTACTACGGGAAAACGGAAAAATGTCTGGGAAGAGGTTCCAGTGGATGGGTGAATGGAAGGAAGGAAGTTGAGCACTATGTCTGACCTAGGAAGTCGTGCTGCAGGGAAGAGAGGCGGCAGGGAGGGCGGGGGACCTGTTCCGCCCACAGACATGTCCCGGGGTTCCAGTGAGCCGTGCCTGGGAGGGGCCTGGAGAACTTGCAGGGCTCATCCTAAAAGCTCCAACAGGATGGCTCTACCTGACAAATAAACGATAGTCAATATGGCTTCTATTTTCATGAAATTAGTAAGAGCCCGGGGCTCTTTGGGCAGATAACCGTCTTCCCCAAATGCCGACCATCCCTACCCCTGTCCTCCATCTGGCCAGCTCAGGAGCAGGACCATCCTCTCCCTCTTACGAAGACAGGAGTGAGCCGAAGTGGATCCTGAGCCTCTCTCTGTAGCTCAGCTGCGGCTTCCATCCCGGACACTTGAGGACAGACACTGCAGGTGAACTGCTTGGACTCATATCCCTGCCCAGGGGAGGAAACCCTGATGGGGGGTGGGTGGGGCACTGGGCAGTGGGAAAGGCCCACACCTGCGGTTGCCAAGTTTCCAAACCATTACACGATGTCCCCTAACCCAGGCTGGTCTGGGGCAAGGATGTTGGGGGCAGCCAGACTTTGATAGAGAGACGCCTGAGCTGTGTGCACATACCCACCTACACACTTATATCCACCTCTGAGAACCTTCCATACATCCTCCCTTGGGCCTTTTCCTTCCGAAAGGACGGTTTAAGTTTGAAAAATAGGTCCTATGGACCAACCCAGTTATGTGCAGGAGCAGACGTGATCATCCGTCCAGCCGTTCACTGTCTAATTCTCCTTCAGGCTTGTCTGCCCTCCTGGGAGTGGAAACCCGAGGGACTAGAGGCTGAGATAAAACCACCCTGGGGCTGACATGCTGGGCCAGCAGGAAGGAGCTAGGTCTGGTGCCAACTCCACTTAATGGGGACGGGATCTCCTGGAGGTGGTGGAAGGTGGGCAGAACGGGGAGGGAGCAGAGCTGTGGGACCCAAGCTCCTTCCCAGACCCCTGGGCTGCCCCTACAAGGCGGTGCTGCTGGACACGACCTCTGGGCCTGGGGCATTGCCTTGGGCCTTGACCTCTTCCTGGGCCTCTCTGCTCATGGCTTCGTTATCAAAGGCCTTTGGGGCCTTTATGGGGACGCCCTGCGCATCCTGCCCCTCCTCCAGGTCCTGGCAGCACCTGGAGCAGCGGCAGCAGCGGCAGCCGCACATGAGGCAGCACACGCGGCAGCACACGCGGCAGCAGCAGCAGCAGCGCCGCTGGCAGAGGCTGGTGGCCGAGGAGATGAGGTTGTCCCAGGGCTTCAGCGAGTGCATCCACAGGGGCAGGAAGTTCCAGTTCTGGAGCGACTTGGGCAGGACGCGGGGGCAGCGGGACTGCAGGAGCCCGAGGCCCAGCACCAGGAGGAGGACGAGGATGATGGGCACCCCCACACCCACCAGCACCGGCCAGCCGGCCAGCGAGAGGCCGAACACCGCCAGCGGCGTCAGCAGGAAGAAGAAGATCAGGTAGAAGACGGCGAACCAGCGGTACTTGGCGGAGATGTTGCCCAGGCCCTTGGCCAGGCGGATGGGCAGGCGAGTGAACGGTATGGGGTACCACAGCAAGATGCCCGAAATGTTGAAGAAAAAGTGGCACAGCGCGATCTGCAAGGCAAGAGGGAGGGCGGGTCAGGGTCTGTTGCCTGAGTTGGACTGAGTTGGACTGGGGTGAGATCAGGCCAGCTAGCAAGCATCCCCACGGGGCCACGGCCCTTCTGTGTCTTTATGGCTCAGCCCAGGAGGACCTGCACCCCCTGCGGACCTACTGGTGTCTAGGAGGAGGGAGCAGGGGGCAAGACTTGCTGAATCCCAGCTCAGTGGCCAAGGGCCTGCCATCCTGTAGGCCCAGTCTAACAAGGGATATGCCCACTGCTGCCCAGGCCTTGGCAGAGCAGCCGAGAGTTGGAGGGGCAGAAAGAAGAGCTTATAGGGCCACTGCTTCCTTGGCTCAATGGTCCATTCTAAAAAGGGTAGCGAGAAGGAAACAGGGCTCCAGCTACTAAAAATAAAAGCAGCAGCAAGTACGTCTAGAGTGTTTGCTACATGCAAGGTACTTTATGTGAATTATTTCAATCCTCAAATATATCCTATGAAGTGGCAACCCTCATTCCTTGACATGTAAGAGCATGGAGGGCCCGGGTGTGGTGGCTCACGCCTGTAATTCTCGAACTCTGGGAGTCCAAGGCCGGTGGATTGCTGAAGGTCAGGAGTTCGAAACTAGCCTGAGCAAGAGTGAGACCCCCGTCTCTACTATAAATAGAAAGAAATTAATCGACCAACTAATATATATAGAAAAAATGAGCCGGGCATGGTGGCGCATGCCTGTAGTCCCAGCTACTAGGGAGGCTGAGGCAGTAGGATTGCCTGAGCCCAGGAGTTTGAGGTTGCTGTGAGCTAGGCTGATGCCACGGGACACACTCTAGCCTGGGCAACAAAACAAACTCTGTCTCAAAAAAAAAAAGAGGGGGACGGAGGGACGACGTGGTTAAGCTCGGTCCCCAGAGTCACACAGGCGGGAGGTGGTAGAGGTGCGATTCAGATCCCTGTGTGGATGCTGAGGTTAGGTCACCTGTGGAAGGTCACTTGGTATACAAATGGTGGGATAAGGATTCAATCCCAAGGTCTTATCCAAAGTCACCTTGTTGAGCTGGGCAAGGCAGGTCCCCCGGATTCCTTTAGCTGCCAGGCCCTTGGCACAGGTGAACTCTGCCTGCTCCCCAGGTAGCACTGAGAAGCTGGGAGGTGCCCTCTGCGCTTCCTACACTCTCTTTCTGTGTCTTATCACGTGACCACCCCACCTTTGTGGAAGGGCAGCCAGTGTGCAGGTCTGCCTGCCTCTCTCAGGAGAACGGCTTTGCCTGTGCTCGTGCCGAGCTGCTCGAATCTGTCTCCCTGTGGCTTCTCCTCCGCACCTAGCTCCACCGTTTGGACACGAGGGAAACGGCTGGCTCTTGTCAGAAGCTGGTTTGCAAGACCAGGGATGGGGGCGGTTCCCACCCGCAGGCAGCCCCTGCCCCGCGCCACGTCCTGACCTGGAGCGCGCTCCTCAGCGTGTTGCCCGGGCTGGCTAGGGCGGCCAGGATGGCGGTGGTGGTGGTGCCAATGTTGGAGCCCAGCGTGAGCGGATACGCCCTCTCAACGCTGATCACACCGATACCTGCGGGAAAGCACAAGGCACGTGGCATCAGCCCCAGAGATGAGAAGAAATGGCAACGGATGCCAGGGGATGAAGCCAGGGAGAAGAAACTCACCAATGAGCGGGGTCATGGCGGACGTGAACACAGAGCTGCTCTGCACGATGAAGGTCATGCCTGCCCCCACGATGATGGCCAGGTAGCCAGTCACCCAGGCGAAGGGAAAGGGGAAATCTGGAAGACAAGGGGAGAAGAGACCTCAATGCCTCTGGGTAAGGCAGGGGCTGGAGGTGCAGCTGGCACCTCCAGGGGACCCCGGGACGGCGACAGGGCTAGAGCGTGAGGTTGTGGAGACACCTCCCCACTCCATACGTGGTCTGAGATGGCAGGTTGGACTTTTAGAATCCAGTCTTTCATCCTGCATACACAGATGGTGAAACCAAGAATGCAGGTGAGCATTGGGAAGACAAAAGTGCAGATTCCCTGGAGGTCAGGTAGAATCAGGGGACCCACCACCCCACAAAGCACCTAGAGTGCTTAGCCCTCACTTCCTCCCTGCCCTGGTCACCCATCGCTTCACACCTTCCGCCATCCCTCCACTTCACGAACATGGAGATGGGGCAGCTTAGAACAACCCTCCCAAGCCAGCCCTCCGCCCCACCGCACCTCATCAGTGCCCCGTACCCACAGGCACCCAGAGTCGCTCAGCTCGCCCTCAAGACAACCCAGGATGCAGATTTTTATTGAGTTTCCCAGGGTGCTGGTATCATGGGCTCGGGGTGCTCTCACGGGCCAGGACGCCGTGCTTGGCAGGAGCTGCTCCTGGCCAGTGGGGTCTCCTCGGCTGACTCAGGGTGCGGATGTATTTATCCAGAACCTCACTGTCTTCTATAGAGTGGAGGGAATTGGGGACAAAGAATGGACACCTCCTATCCTCTTCCTAAGGGGTCCTCACAGACCCAGAAAAGTCCTAGGCATTTAGACAACCTGCCAGGAAGGGCTTTGGACAACCTAATTCTTGGCAACCTGGGTCTTGGGCTGGCTGTTTCTCAGGACCTTGCCACCATGCAGCAGGAGCTGGTGCCTGCTCCCCAGATCCCACTCAGGACTCCAAGAAAAACTCCCAGGATGAGTGACACCTTATCTTCTTCAGCTGATCAGATCTGACAGAGAAACTCCATGCAGAGGCTCTTGCAAGTTAGGAATCCAAGGGTTCCTCCGCCCTCAGTGACCATTCCTCCAGGTGATGCCATCCCTCAATTCCCCGAATTGGGGGCAGTGCACCTACCAGTGTTGAGAGTCTTCTTGATGACAGAGGCGACCTGCCCTTTGAGCACTGAGCCCAGAAGCTTGACAATCATGATCAGGCAGCCGCAGAGGACCAGCAGGGAGATTATGAGCAGAATGATGCCCACAGCGACGTCCGGGAGGTTGAAATTCACAAAGATATGCTGGCCTGAGAGATCATGGGGAGCCTTGTTAGAAGGGTGTAGAGCCACGGCAGCTACAGATTGTGGTTTTACTCCCCAACACCCTTCCCTCTCCTACTAATAGATCTTGGTCATTGGCTCAATCCCTGGCAGCCCAAAGTAAAGATGTGAAAAAAAAAATGCCCACTAAATGACTATGTGGGTTTTCTTATTGGAAGTACATGCGTAATGGAAACTTGCATTAATAGATTTTCTAATATATAATGGAAAACTGTGTGTATTTTTAACATTACTATGTCATATGACTTTGAAATCGAACTTCTAATTCATTTTCTTGGAATTTGATTGAAGATATTAATATCAAGAATTTAAAGTTGGATTGGTCTACAATTTCTATTTTCCTGTTTTGTCAGATTTTGGTATGAGGATTATGCAAGCTTCATAAGATAAAATGGAAAGTTCTTTTTGTTTCTCTAAAACCTAGGTCAGATCATGTAGTTTGAGAATTATCTATTCCTTTAATTATTTGAAAGAGTTTGCCTATTAAACTACTGGTGTCCAGAAAAACAAACAAACAAACAAACAAAAAGTAAAGATGTGCCTTCCCATCTCCCCTGCAGCTAAGTGTCGCCCCTGAGACTACCTTCTGGCCAGGAGGAGCTTGTGAGGCTGGATGATGAGCTGAGGTCGTTAAAATCACACAGCTAGTCAGGGGCAGACCCAGGCATCCAGCCCAGTTCTTCTACCTCTAAAGCCCATGCTCTTCTCTATGCATGATACTGTCAAGGTGTTTGAGGAGCAGGATGGGCAAGTCAGAGTAAGGAATATTGCTAATCGTAAAACAAAACTCTTGTTTTTCAAAATCCTACTATGTCCCTATGATAATTCCAGCAAGCCCTGGTTAATTAATGAATGCATTACACCTAAAACATGGGAGGTGATTAAGTTCTATTGGGTAAAGTATACCTGGAGTATCAAGGTATACCTCTCATAATTAATACCAGGAAGGTGGAGAGGGAGAGAGAAATATATATATATATATATATATATATATATATATATATATATATATATACACACACACACACACACAAAAGATTATATAAGGAATAATTAGAAGAACTAAGGACTTCTGGGTTGGAAAAGATTCCAGGAGCAAAATCATAGCTTCTAAAGGAATCAGAGCATCACGTGGGCTCCCTGCTTTGTGCAGTGCTGCAGCCCAGGGCCTTGAATGGGGCTTGCTGTGCGGTGGGGACTCACTGTGTCTGTTGAACGCATCTGTCCTATATGTCCCACGCCTCCCTTCAAGTCTGGCTGTCATCTCCCCAGAGGTTTTGAGAAAGGGACACTGAGGCACACGGATTGAGTACTCTGGACTGTAGAGTTCTGAGGTGGCATGGAGTTGCCAGAGGAACTGGCTTCAAGTCCTGGCTCTGCCCCTTCCTACGGGACCTTGGGGCTGTCCCAGTCCCTGTGAAGGCATGCCACGCGTTGCCTGAGGTAGGCTCGGTGCTCAGTGACTGTCACTGTCCTTTCTTTCCTGGCCAGGGCCACATAGGTAGGAGATGCCATCCCACACCCCAGTCCCGCCCCGGTGGCCAGTCTGGAGAGTCCCACTCACACTTGGCAAGGTTCTCCGTGTGGGTCATGTTCTTCGTGGTCCACGTGTCGCCGCCATCCGTCCAACATAGCAAAGGGGAGGTGCAGTTCTCAGGTGAAGGGACAGTGACGTTCATCTGCGTCTGGATGACAAACGTGACAAATGTCCACAACACTGGCTCTGGCGGGCGATGGGGTGGGGGAGGGCAGGGGAGACACCACACACACTGGCGTGTGCAGCGGCTCCCTCGTAGTGTGTCTCTTCTCTCTGGGGACTCGTTACTCATCTTTATTAGAAAGCTCTTAAAGCAACTGGGGACAAATAAAACCAGCCTCCTCTACTCAAAAACATCTAGTTGTTGTATGTAGTCTCTCAGTCTGCAGCACTCCACGGAAACCCAACACATGCACCCTAGAAGGCAGCGTGAGCTCCAGCCGCAGTGCAGAGGAGGCTGGCTGGGTTCCCTGCCATGGGAGGGCAGGATGCTGTGGGCTTCCAAAGAGGAATATTCTGGAAGTGTCTGGAAAGTGAGAGATGCCACCTGCTGCCAGCACTTGTAGCCTGTGATGGGTTCCTCCAAAACTGAGAACAGAAAGACAGCAAGGAATCAGCCTTCTCCAAGAGACATGGAAATAGGATAAGGCAGGAATGATGTCTCCACAGGGTGGAACGGGGCAAGGGGCCTCTGTCCTACTGTGAGCATATCCTGCATTCAAAGACTCATTTCCTAAAGGAATCTCACTGCCCAGTTCTGATTTTTTGGGGGCCACGCATTTTTCTTTTCCCTGACTTCTTATTTGCTCATCTTGAATGCAAGATTTTGCTTCAAGTTCGGATGCAAGGGTTTACCTGCACACCAGTATTCCTGAACACTCACCACAGTGGTAACAGTTTTGCACCATATCTTGATCAGACTCTTGTTTTTCGCTGTTTCATCATTCATTGCAATTTGGTTGATAACTTTTTTATCCAGCTGAGGAAAGCAACAGACAGAAAACAGTCAAGTTTTCTTGAGCTTGAGCAGTCAAGTTTCTCAGAGCTCATTTGGGGCAGAGATGCAGGGGGCTGGGGTGAGCGGGGCTCCTGCAGAGGTGAGGGGGCTCCCACTGCATCTGCACCCCCACGGTGGAGCACGGTGCCTAGACTTTAACGGTGCAGGACAAATGATTGACTGTGTCACCAAAGCACTGCTACCTAGGAAGCAGGCAGAAGGTATTTGCCGGATGACTGAATGACAGAAAACCAGAAGGTAAAAGTGAATGCACAAGGTCCCCAAGGCAGCATCCACAAAGCTGTCTTCCATTTTGACCATGCAGACAGGCCCAGTGAGCAGGTGGGTGAGATGGCTCCTGGCAGGAAAGGGAAGTGTCCTCCCTGTTGGCCAGCAGTGGGAAGCCACTTGATCATGAATAAGCCCCTGGTGTTGAGGACAGTCGTGGAAACAAAGTGGCCCCAAGGCTCCAGTTGTTGGAAGCACCCCCAAACCAACAAAAAGGCCCTTCATTGTTGTCAAGGAAACAAAGGCAATTACACTGTCAAGTGTCCCTAGAGGTCTGCTCCGGTGCCGCAGAGCAGTGTCTGCAGACCCTGCCGGCCTCTATCAGTGCAGAGGGGTGGGAGATGCACGGGTAGGACGTTGGTGGCTTTCCCTCTCGCAGGAGCCGGGGTACCTGGATAATGAGCTTTGTGAAGGGATCCGTGATGACTTTGAGAAGGGCCGGGGCATCTTCTCCATTCTGGAAGTGGAAGGTGTCCAACACGAGGCTGGTCAGGATCTCCAGGTAGTGGGTGGCAGCCTCCAGGGGCAGGAGCACCAACACGGACAGCCAGTTGAAGAAGTCGTGGACGGTGGCTCCTGCAAAGGCCCTGCAGAGAGGGGACCCCACAGCCGGGTCAGTGGGCAAGTGCGTGGGCACCAGTGGAGGTGGATCATTCCTTGTGCCATCGGCCACCACCTGCTAGGGTCAGCCATGTGGGCGCCCATGTGCACAGCTCCCATCTGTGTTCTCTCACAGCAATCCCCGGTGGGAGCGCCATGACTATTCCCATTCCACAGATGCGGAACCCGAGGGGAACAAGCAGGTAACGGCTGGAATTATGAGCTGAGCAACTGCTGTGTTGAAGAATCACATCTCTTAGGCTGGACAAGGTGGCCCATGCCTATAATCCCAGCACTTTGGGAGGCCGAGGAGGGAGGACCACTTGAGGCCAGGAGTTCCAGATCAGCCTGGGCAACACAGTGAGACCCTGTCACTACCAAAATAAAAATTAGCTGAGTGTAGTGTTACGTGCCTCTAGTCATAGCTATACAGGAGGCTGAGGCAGGAGGATCACTTGAGTTTGAGGCTGCACTGAGCTATGATGATGCAACTGCACTCTAGCCCAGGGGACAGAGGAATACCCTGTCTCAAAAAAGGAAAAAAGACTACTTTTGAATCACATGTATTGAGTGCAACCTTCCTTCGGAAGGGTGGGGATCCGTAAGAAGGTAACCATCAAAGCCCTCTATGCAAATGAATTCTTAACCTTTTTTTAAGATCTCGAGAGTCTGATGAAATGCATGAATAGTCTGCACAGGAAACAAGGCAAATATACACCACTCTTTGCATCTATCTGAGGAGGTCCAAAGGTTCCTCCGCAGGTACATCCTATCTCCAGATTAAGAAACTCCACTACAGACTTTTTTGCCCCCTCCCTCAATGATAAAGGTTTCCTTTAAAAAAAATCTGCATGTCAAAAGATACCCTAAACCAAGAAGAACATGGGACTGGAACAGATAGAAGAAGCTAATAAATATGTGGGGAGATGCTTAACTTCACTAGTAATAAAAGACATTTGCAATGTATTTACTTATATACATTTTCACTTATCATATTAGCTAATATTTATTTTTTAAAGTATTTGTATTCTTCCTGGAGAGAATGACTTAAGACACTTTCAAACACTGCTGGTGTCATGTAAAATGACACAAATATCTGTTAGTAGTTTGTCAAAGTGTTTTTAGAGCCTCGAGTGAGAGTAATTATTGTTCTAGGAAGGTAAGGGGCCTGCCTGAGCCACAGGGAGGTCACGTCCCATACATAGCCAAGCTGGGAACTGCTTCTGTATTTAATAAGCTCTGGAAAGAGCCCATCACAGTAGGGAAGAGGCCAGGAAATGTACCTAATTTTCACCTTAATCTTTTTGGAAAGAGTTTCCAATAGTCAATCTGCTTTATTTTCAGCTTTTAAGCGCACATGACAACTCCATTTTGCCTTTTATTGGTATGTAAGTGAAGAACAAAGAAAATAATGGCACAGGTTGTACAAGCCAAGAGTGGAAGGTGTAATAAGTTGTAATTGTTTATGGCTAAGCAAAAACAATAAATCCTACCCTAACTCGCCTTGTTTCAACTCCACCACCCAACAGGTGAGTTTCTAGCCCTGGCTGCGTGCCAGGCACTCTGCTGAACACCTAGGTACGTGCTTGTATCATCTTGAGCACAGCACAGTGGTGACAGGTATCATCACTAACCCGCTGTGCAGATCAGGGAGCTGGGTTTCATGGGCTGGGAAGTATGTGATTCAATCCTAGCTGCATCCCCTGTGGCTAGTTCTAGGCGCTCCAGTGTGAGCGTGTCGAGCATGTTCTCACCAGCTAGTTACAGGCAGTTACAACAGCATGGCCGATCACCGCGGGCCTGATCGAGCACAGGCTGGTTTCCTTTTTTTTTCCTTTTATTTGTATTGTTATTTTAGCATTTTATGGGGGTACAGATTTTAAGGTTTCAATAAATGCCCTTTCCCCCCTTCCCCGCACAGGCTGGTTTCTGAGCCTCCTACCTTCTGAACTCTCCCCGGTCTCCCACCTGCATGAGCGCCACGATGGTGTTGGTGATCGAGGTCCCAATGTTGGCGCCCATGATGATGGGGACGGCAGCCCGCACGGTGAGCACTAGAGGGTGGAAAAGAGCCATTAGCAAGTCTAGGGAGGCAGCCTGGCCACCTTCCCACATGGCCCAGGGCAGGCTAGACTCACTCATGCTGGTAATCACCCAAAGCAGCAGTTCTTATCCTGTCTGGGGTCATGCACCTCACTGTGATAAAACTTAGGGTATGTACCATAGAAATACACGTGTGTGCAAGAAAAAAAAAAATATTCCTGCACGCAATTTCAGATATCCACAGACCCCTGAACACCTCAGTTTCCAATGGCCTCAGTTTAAAAGTGCCTTTCTAAATTCCTCTCCACACCCTATCAGAAACGTAAGGCCAGCTTCAAGTAGACCAGGAAGCAGTCAATGTTTCAGGACTTAGGTGGATGAGCTCCAGGGCTCACATGTACAGTCAAGTCAGTTGTGCACAGCACAAAGTCTCATCTATAAGGAAACGTCATTTACCTGCCAGACATTAAACACCTGTTTATTTATTAGGCCAAGTATAACTCTTTTTCTAATAAAATTGGTATCTTGCCACAATTCTTGGACATATGCAAGTAAAATATTTTGAAGATGAAATATCTTTTTCTAATTGAACCCAGAGAGTCTAGTTAATTTTTTGCTAAAATGTTGGCTTGGGATGAAAAATATTCAGTTCAAACTGGTTCCCTTCAGAGGGTCTATACAACTTAACCAGAGCAAGGATCAGGCAGATACAAGTTTGAGTGCTACCTCTCCAAGCTCAGTTGTCCCCAAGCCCATGTGCTATGTGATTAGATGTCTTTATTCTTCACACTGAGTGACCCTGTCCAAGAGACCTTCTTGCAATGATGCAAATGTTCCCCTATAGCTACATGGTACTGTGTAGCAGCTGCCAGCCACATGTGGCCCTTGAGCACTGGGAATGCAGCTAGTGCAACTGACGAGCTGATTTTTATATTTTAAATTTAAATCAATTAAAGTTCAATGAAATTAAATAGTCACATATGGCCAATGGCTACGAGGCTGGACAGCACAGGTCTAGAGAATTCAGAACTGAGTCCTCAAGCATCACGGTGCATTTCCAGATCCAGCCAAATGCAAACAGGAAGCTGCCTGGGGTCCAGAGTGGAGCACACTGGAGCTGGCCCAGGCAGGAAGATAGTGGGCGTGTCAGAGCAAATCCAGACTCACGGGAGGAGGCCACCATGCTGACGACGATGGACGTGGAGGTGCTGGAGCTTTGCACCAGGACAGTCACCAGCACCCCGATCACCAGCCCCGCCACAGGGTTGGACATGACAGAGTTGTTGCTAAAGAACTGTCCGGCCACCTTTCCTGAAAAACAAACCAATGGCCACGTGACTGGGGCGGTCAGGTGGGAGCTGAGGAAACAGCAGCCCCTGGAGGCTGGCTGGCCTCAGCCTGGGGACCCTGGCCCCCGCCCTGCTGCCACCTATGGGACTGTGCTTCCTTGTGCTTCTGCCCAGCTCGGCCTCTCTGACCTCCTCCCCTGCCCACCACCAGCCCCTGGCTGCTCTTGCCCCTTCACCCTGCACCCCGCACCCTCCCCTCCTTGAACTTCTCCCTACATCAGCAAGCCCTTCTCCAGCCTTCTGTGACCATGAACCCGGCCTCAACTCTGTCCTGTGCTCAGGGGGTGCCAGTGAGCCACTATGCCCTAATTCCTCTGCCTCTGGGATATATTCCCAATTCAGAGGATTTATCCTCCAACAGTGAGTCTTCTCCATCCCCCAGCCAAGCCCCAGCCTCTGGGCCCACCCATCCATTCTCCAATCCATAAAGAAGGCAGAGGCCCAGAGAACACACCTGACTTGCCTGAGATGTCGGAGCAAAGTCCTTGCTGACCCTGCCATGGACCAGGAGGCCCAGAGTTTGCCCCTCGTGCCCCAGCAGGAACTCCCACTCTCCCAACGCTTCCGGCCACAAAGATAGGTCTCAGGAGAGGCACCAAGCAGGTACAGGAATCTTCGGACTATTGTGTCTCCCAAATATGAGACTGGATCCTACCACGCTAATTCCCGGCTGTGGACTCCTCCAGGGCCACTGAGTGCTCCCTGAGCGGCGGGCGGTCTCCCTCCGCAATGGAGGCTTCGGGGAAGGCGTTGTCAGTGAGGGACCTGGGAAGCCAACGGCTAGGCACTCAGAGTGCTGTTGGTCCCAGTGCAGTCTGAAGGCCACCGTGAATGGTGACCTACTCTGGGGGGCCACTCACTGCATAGGACATTCAGTTCTAAGAGTGTAGGGCAACTGCAATGAATAGCAGAGGGTCCCCTAGTCTGGGGACCCCTGTCTATTCTACACAGGCAGAAGGGCCAATTTGATTTCTTTTTTTTTTTGGAGACAGGGAGGTCGTCGCTTGTTGCCAGGCTAGAGTGAGTGCCAGTGTCTCAGCCTAGCTCACAGCAACCTCACAGCTCCTGGCTAGAGCAATCTTTCTGCTAGCCCTCGCGAGGAGCTGGGACTCAGCATCGTGCCACATGCCAGCTATATATAATATTATTTATTACTTATAGCTATATATATATATATATATTAGTTGGCCAATTAATTTCTTTCTATTTATAGTAGAGATGGGGTCTCACTCTTGCTCAGGCTGGTTTCGAACTCCTGACTTCAAGCAATCAGCCCGCCTCAGCCTCCCAGAGTGCTAGGATTACAGGTGTGAGCCACCGTGCCCGGCCAGCTCTTATTTCTGAATCTGATTTGGCTTGAGCCTGCTCTCCTACTCCACAAACCCCCCTGATGGGGAGGGGCCCAAAGACAGCAGGGACCCCTCAGTAAGTCTTATGTCAAACAGCATCCTGCTTGGGGTGTGCGGACAAATGGCTTGGAATAGGCTCCAGCCCTGGCTCCCGGCCTAGACCATGTGAGCCCAGGCCTCCATTTTTTCTTCTATGAAATGAGAGACATAGGTCGGGCGCGGTGGCTCATGCCTGTAACCCAGCACTCTGGGAGTGCCAAGGCGGGAGGATTGCTTGAGGTCAGGAGTCCTAGAAGAGCCTGAACAAGAGTGAAAAAAAAGTGTACAAAAAATAGAAAAATTAGCCAGGTGTGGTGGCACACACCTGCAGTCCCAGCTACTCAGAAGGCTGAAGCAGGAATATCACCTGAGCCCAGGAGTTTGAGGCTGCAAGGAGCTACAATGACACCACTACACTCTACTCAGGGCAACAGAGTGAGACTCTGCCTCAAAAATATATTAATTCATTCACTTAGAAAGTGGGAGACGTAGACTTTGTAAGATGATCCGAGGTGGGCTCCAGTCCTAAAACACTCAGGAGGCTGCAGCTGGAGAAGGCTTTGCTGACTTTTTCTGGGACCAAACTGAATCATAGGACCCCTCAGCCCCGGCCCCAGTGCCTTCCATCCCATCCCTACCTCCAACCAGCTGGAACGCGCTGCTGAGGACGTCCAAGGAGCACACGAAGAAGTAGAGAAACCCCAGGAGCAACAGGAATTTCCCGATCCCTTGGAAGACGCAGATGATCTTCCCTTTGGTGTCTCTCTCTGTGGGGGAGAGGAGAGGGGGCAGGAAGACGTTTAGTGTCTGAAACTCTGAGGTTTGGCAGTGAGCTCGGCCGTCCCCCCTCCCAGCCTGGAGGCTGCAGGCTCTTCTGTCTCCGTGCTCAGAGACGGACGCGTCACTGCTGCGGGCCTCCAGCAGTCACCACTGTGGCCCATTTAGCTGCCACCCTGGTGAGGCGTCTCTAAGGGATCCCCAAGTGGCAGGAGGGGCTCCATGTGGCCTGGGACACAGAAAAGCAGATGGGGCTCCGTGCTGGGCAGAACCGCAGTGCCACTGAGCCGGCCGTTGAGAGCGCAGGCCGCCTGCTGCGTGCAGGGTCGGAGCTAATGGCTCTCCAAAGCACCTTCTGAACAGCACTGAGTGTTTTCTAGAGTGAGCTGCACAGTAGCTATCACAGCCTCAATTTGCGGACGGCTCGGGCCCACAGACATCCTGAGATGCTGCGTCCTTGACTGCTCATTTCTCCACTTACTCTCATCTCTTTTTCCTTTTTTTTCTTATTTCTTACTTTCCATCATTCTGAACCACTTACTTTCAAAACAGGTTCTCCTCCTCGCCTCCCTCGGCTCCCACCTGCCTTCCCTTAAGCTGTCTGGGTGCAGGACAGGACCTCAAGCCTGGCGGACGCCAGGCGGAAAGAGCAGATGGTGTTGGGCACTCGGCCCCTACTGGTGCGTCGGCTGTCTTGGGCGGCGGGACCCTCCAAGGAGCTCTTTAGAGCGAGCGGCCTCGGTTCTGAGACCAGCACTATCCACGGCACTGGTCCCCATACCGGGAACCTGGTCGTGCCTTGGTTCATAACTCGCGCGAGAGGCGGCTCAGTTGTGAAAGAAGGGCAAAATCCCGTTCACTGCTTGTTCTGTGACTGGTAACCTCAGCCAGCGGGCTCGACATCCTCGCAGGATGAGGAGGATGGCCAGGCAGGTGACAGCGAAGGAGCGATGTGGACAGGCAAGTGGCCCTCCCACCGTGCACCTGGGGCTGGCCTCATCTTACCTGGAACACTTGACCCAGGTGCTCCCGGGAGCTCAGGCGCGTCCCAGGCGGGTCATCCACCTCCGTGAGGCTCCTCTATCAGCGTGGGCCATGGAGTAGGGACGGGCGGAGTTCGGATCTTGGTGACAGGGGTCCTGGGTGTCATCTGCGCCACCACAAGCAACAGAAAGCCATGAAGAATCAGACCTGAGACTCTTCCGGGCCCTTTGAGCGAGGCCGAGCTAGGACCGGGGCGAGGAGCACTCACTTCTGTCGGTGCCTTTGTCACCGGTGGGGGGCTCTGAGGCTTCCGGCCTCTGCGATGGGATTGGGTGAGCGTTGCCCAACTCCAGGCAAGGAGCTCAGTTCTTTGTGGAGGGGAAAGCAGCTTGAGCAGCAGCCGCGGAAACGGAGGGTGCGGCGCCCATGCCGTCGGAGAGAGGCGAGCAAGCTCGGGAGGGGAGTGACAGGAATGGGAAAGGACCATGCCTACGCCGTTCTGATGTGAGTCTGGCACGCCCACAGGTCTACTCTTCAGGTTTCCCTCAGCGCTCCACCGAGTGGTCACTGCGCAAACCACTGAGATAAGGGCCAACCGCCAAGTTACGCAAAAACCCCTCCATGGCCTCAACATACCCGCTACAAGCTTAATGCCATTGGCCTCCTGCACATCTACCTGCTTGTCCCTACTTCACCAGCGTATTGTGTATGAAAGCATTGATCATTGCCATTCTGCGGGTTCTAAAACCCGAGCGTGCTACTTCTGAGTGGGTGGGGTGTGTGGCCTGCAGCGCACACAGGTCAGTTTCCCCATCTATAAAAGCAACGATTCTTGTGTATAAATACCTCGCGGCGGTATGAGATGTCCTGACATGGAATGTGAGATTAAACGGTGAATGAGATTAATGGTGAGATTAAAGGTCTGGAAAGTGACTGCCATCAAGCACGCATCCCATAAATAGTAGCAATTATTACTGTGTCATGCTGCCTGGATTAATGACCCTTTGTTGGAACCACATTCTTTCCAGACTTCTGTAAAGATCTTATAACCCATTTCTCCACAAAGCCTCTCTCAGTCCTGTGGCTCTGGACACCCTTGACAGTCCAGTTCTGGCAGCCCTTGCGCTCTGACACACATGAGCCAAAGCAGTCCAGAGGACTAGAATGAGCAATTCCCAGAAAAATAAATACAAATGGCTAAAATGCCTATTAAAAATATGAGCTCAGCCTCATTAGCAATCCAAGATATGCAAGTTAAAACAGTGACAAATTATCAAAGAAGCAAAAAAAAAAAGTTTAAAGTATGATACGCTATGCTGGAGAAGATATTGTAAGATAAGCAATGCTGGACGCTCTGGAAAACAACTGGCAGAATGTCTCAAGTGCCTTACTTTTCTCACACATTTTTGACCCAGTAATTCCACTTCTAGGAATTAGGAATCTAGGAATATTTGCTCTCAGAACATTAGAAACACCTGACTTGCTCTAATCACCTCTTCCCAAAGAGCCTCCTAGAACTGAGTCTGTGTGACTCCCTTCCTCTTTTTCTTACATCAACCTATGTCCAGCTCACCAGTATGCAGGCCCTACAAGCAAGGGGGCTTTGTCCTGTTCCTCACTACATCCTTGGGGTCTAGATCTCCTCCAGGCACAGTACAATGCACGATACATACTTATTGATAAAATGAATGTGATATAGACCAAAAAGACATTTGCTGCTATCATTTATAGAGTTGAAAGATTAAAAAATAGGGAAATGATCACCCTAACTATGGTACATCTAGGCAGTGTATTAGCAGGCCATTAAAAAGTTCCCAGTGACTCAGTGAAAACACAGGAAAACACTTTAGATAAACTGAATAAAAGGTGCTTGTTGTCCCATTCACAGCATTTTCTCAACAAGACCCAGAAACGTTCTGTGGGGTTCACAGTGGGACAGTGGATCATAGTTTTCTGCTAACATTTCCAAATTCTTAAAAGAGTCTTTTAGAAAAGATGCAGCTCAACCCTCCAATGGGAAAGGCAAGGTGGTTCAGGGCCGGCTATGCTGCTTCTGCTCCTCATATTGACAAAGCCGGAGGTTAGGATGGCTGATTCCGTGAGTCCCCCTCACGAGGGGCTTTCAGGAAGTTGCTAAACCCAAGGAAGCCTTGGCGGCCTCCCCGCACAGCCTCGGGGCACCGCGCAGGCTCCCGCCACTGCTGAGCGTCTCCAGTCTCTGCTCTGCTAGCTCAGCACACGACAGGCCTTAACCACTTGGGTTCCAGTGTCGCTCTAGTTGTCAGCCACAGATGAACGCGCACAGCCCAGCGTCGACTTCAGCCGACAGCCAAAAGCTTTTACTTTTACAGCTTTTATCTCTGTGGTTGCAGTGTGTACATTCAGCTAATAAGTTACTACGAATCTGTGACCTTTTAACAAGTCCTTAGTAGGGGTTATTATAGTTATTTTCTCCTAAAGCCGCCTGTAGAGTAAAACAAGCTCTCAGTGCTTTCAAGCTTTCCTCATCGCACAAGAGCAAGCCGGACCCGTCGTCAATGCACAGCACAGGCTGTCGTGCGGCTCACCGGCCAGGAAACCTCGCCCAAGGCCGGCACCAAAAGCCCCAACAAAACCCGGGCCCGGCAATGAACAACGGGCCCCCCTGCCCCTGGGGCAAGAAGAAAACCTGAAAACAACGAAAACCTGGTTTAACCCAAAAGCCGCCTTAACTGGAAAGGAAAGCAAAAAAAGGAAAAAGAACATATATGTTTTCATTACATTATTTTTAAATGCTCACAATTTTATTTTGGTAAATGGAAAATTAGAGAAGTCGTATCACGGCTGTCGGCTACAGCGGCTGTGCGTGTCGTCTGTGGCTGCCGTCTATGGTCGACGCTGCACTGAAGTGGTTAACGTGCTTCCTGAGTAAAATGCTGGGGCTGCCTCTGCAGCGGAGCCCGGTGTGCCCCGTGTGGCCGCACAGCCACTCGTCAAGGAGGCGCTGTGACTCTCCCGTTACACAGACGAAGAAACTCAGGCACGAGGACAGTAAGTATCTTGGTGAGCCTCGAACCCAGGTCTGCTTGGACCCAGTCTTCTCCCACGGCGGCTGCGGGGCTGGGTGTCCTCCGCATGCTCTCTGGTTCCCGGGGGCAGGGCTGCTTCCTCTCGTCTGCTCCCCAGACTCGCTGTGCCTGCCCTGGGGTCTGAGTCCTCCCATGGGCTCAACGCAAAGCCAGGTTTTTAGAGCCGCGGCGCAGGCTGCTGTTCCCGAGGCCTGCTGGCTGGCCGTGCTGGGCAGTGGGGCCTGGGCCGGGGAGCAGGACGAGCCGGCTGGCTGGGGAGGAGAGGCCAGGGATGAGCTGGGCAAACTGCAGCCCCAGCTCAAGGTCGCCATGCGGTGAGCCGGCCCACCTGCCCCTTCCTGTGCAGCAGCACAGACGTTAAAAAGAACCCAGGTGGGCCCAGGGTGCTTCGGTGACTACCTCTGTGACTCTCCCAGCACGGGGATCTTTAAGGAGAGGAACCAACAATTTTGGAGCTCTCAATTTCAATCAGCCGCTATGCTAGGTGCTTTACTTACCATAGAGGTTCGACACCAAGCTCCAGCTCTGCCCCAAACGCACTATAACCTTGGGTGAGTCACTTGCCTGTTCTTTGCCTCAGTTTCCCATAAGTAAATGAGGTTACTAAACAGCGTCTACCTCCCTGGGTCACTAGGGAGCTTAAATGAGTTAATTTCCCTAGCATGCTTAGAACAGTAATCTGCTAAATGAATTGATTTATATCACCACTCTTAGCAACCTATGAGGGATTAGTGTTATTCCCAATTTACACATGGTAAAGCTGAGGTCCTCACAGGGGGCAAAGCTGCTTGGCCCAAGGCCATGGCCATGACTCGAGAATTTCTTTGACCCCAGAGTCTCTGCTTGCCTCTCAATGACTATGTGAGCTGGAGCATATGAAGACCCATCCTGCCA